AAGTTGGGAGAGTTTGCATACAAACACACACAAAATGCTTTCAAAATCCGTATTAGCTTGTTATGAGATTGGAGGAGGGCCTGCTGTCTGAGAAAGGCCACCCAAGCTGCATAGGCACTTAAGGAAGTAGTTACAAGTTTTTTGGGATCATGGCGAAAACTTGGAAGTAAGTCCCACTGAGATAAGTAGGATACTGTCAAATATATCTGATAATATTAAAGGCTTAGCAAAAGAGAGTGAAAGGAGGCAAAGTCACAGCCTATTTTAACATGCTGTCACCTATTATATATTTTTATTTTCCCCCTTCCTTTCTCCTATTTTTGTAAACCATCCTGGGAGCCTGGCTGAAAGGCGGGATAGAAATATGTAAAATAAATACATTTAAATGTAAATGGCGGTTGCCACAGCTTTTGAAACACATGCCCCCCTTCCCTATCCACAATTAATCAGCCATAATCTCCACTGAAAACAGTGAGGTTTCATTCCAAAACTGACTGTGTCCCTAAATAAATTTATTTGGAAGCAACTGCAGCTGGGATTAGTGAAATTTACTTCTGAGTCAATATGCTTGAGCTGAAAGGTCCTATGCAAACTTACTTGAAAGCAAGCCTGTGGAGCCCAGTGGGTTTAATATAAACATAATTGGGTTTCCAATTTAAGGCAGCAAGCCTTTGCACCCTTACTTGGAAATAAGCCCTATTGAAATCAGCGATACTTACTTCTCAATACAGGATAGGATAAGATAGGTTCTTCCTGCATACTTCATTAGCTACTGTTTGTAGAGTTCTACTATGAGATGGCAAACATGTCAAGGGAGGATATTAGAAGATAGCACGCCTCTCTTGGGTCGCTATCAATTCAAAGCTTTTTTGATCGAGGTACAATAGAATACCAGTATTTATTTTGGTGTGTGCATGTCAAACATGTATGCTTAAAAAGGACTTAGACGGAAAACAATTTGTATAAATAGTTCTTTAATCAGAGGCAGCAAAAAAACATTGGCAAAGTCTAGAAAACATCTCAGGGTCACAACTGCCGTAGAGACAACGCAGCTTAATCACAAAGGTCATGGTAATAATATACAACTTTGTGTCTCCAAGGGGAAAAGAAAAGATTCCCCTACAATCTTCAGTGTGGTAGCAGGACGATCTCTGCATGGTTCAAAACAAGTACCATCATTATAATCACTTTCATCAACAACTTCACTCACCCCCAGAAAAGTGAGAAGAGTTTGTAGGAAATGAATGGGATGGTAAGGTTGTGTGCGTCGTTTTCTTTTAAAATCATTTTTGGCCAAATGTTTACATCAAGCAGAAACCCTTTGATACTCTTCCACTTCCATCATTCTCTTTCAAGAGTAGACCAACATCACTGCGACCAAGATTTAAGACTTCAAGAAGAAGAAGAAAGAGCTCAAAGGGGATTCCCCCCCCCCCAACACAACTTTAAGAGTTCGAACCAAACATTTGTCCAGAGGACATTTACATTACAAAAGGACTTTGGCCGAGTTCTGCCCCCACCCCTTTCTTCTTCACACGTTCTTCAGTTCACGTCATTTGGGTTGGGGATGGATGAGCTACATTGTGAAGTCAAATTTGTCCTACTGACAGGCCCACTGGAAACATGTTTACTCGGAAGCAAGTTCCACTGGGTTTAATAGGGATTGTTTCCTTGCAAGCAGTGGAGCATTACTGCCTCTTCCCTTTTGCTAAACCAACCTTCAGCGGCAGCGTGGCCATATTTGCCATAGATTGAGCCCCATTGAAATCAGTGACACCTACTTCTGAGTAAATATACAAAGGATTCGCGAACGCAATCCTGAGCACGTTTAAGGAAGAAGTCCAGGCCAATAAAGCCGATGGACCAGAACTTCCTAGTGAAACGTGTTCAGGATGGAGAGACGCGCAGACACACCAAGGAAATCCATTTTCTCCTTCCCTCCCATTTCCCCGATTATCCCCACCAACAACAACCTTACTTACTTTCTAGGATATTACTCTGCGCGGTTACTAGAGAATACCCCACTGAACGCAGGGTTTACTTCCGAATGAACGTGCCCAGGGACCCGACGTTTACTAAGCCCCGCGAAGCTCAGGCACTCTTGCCTTGGGCTTTAGACTGCAAGGAAGCTAGGGTTGTTGACTACTCTTTCCCAAACAACACGCTTCCATGGGACAAAACGACTCAAGACAGGCCATATGTAAACAATGGTTGGTTTCCCTGTTTTTAAATCAATCTAACCTAGAGCTTGTGTTTAGAGGAGGATTTCGAAAGGGACTTGGTGAAATCTGAGCACAGTGAAAATCTGGGGTTAGGGAGGATGCTTCCCCCCTTTTTAAAAAAAATAAAAATGATTTTAGGGTTTAGATCTCCAAATTTGAGGCCAGGTCTTGACAACAAGCCCTGTTTTTCTCTTGGTACTTTTTTCGGTGCCAGCAGAAAAGGAAGGGGAACTCCAGGTCCAAGAGGTTAAGGGTTCAGAGGTCATTCCTCCCGGCTGAAATACGGCGAATCGAAGGGGGGAAAACGTGTCCTCTGGATGAACCTGCTTCTACAATTTAGCCCGAACTTCAGTAAAATACCTTTTCAGCCTCTCAACGTGAAGGCGTCAGAAAAGAAGACGTCTCCACTATGTATGAACTGGGCGCTTTTTGTCATAGACAATGACGCGCAGTGAATGCAGGAATATCCATCTTTAATATCACGGACGGGCAGATATTCAAGGGGAGCCCCCGTAAGAGTCTGAGAAGTAGACTCAACTAACTAAATAGAGAGAGGAGAGAGAGAGAGAACAAAGAAGGGGCTCCAGGACCCAACACAAAAGAACACAGCCTTCTAAGACCCCGATCCTAAATACCTCAAAGTAAGCCCTACCGTTCGTCTAAGGGCTGTCTTCCAAATAATCCTGCTGGCTTACTTTGGTGGGAAAAAAGCACAAAAGAAACTGCCAAACTGCCGTGACTTCCATGATCCACTACATTAAATATGTGCCTCTCGTCCTATTATTTAGACACATCCATCTCTCTTCTTCTCTCCCATCCCATCTCTTTTTCTAATCAAGGAAAGCCTTCAGAACTTGGGCTATGCGATTAAAAGATGAACCCAATGTGGCTATTTGGCGTGGAGAAAACAATACAGACCACGCTAAGATCCCATTGTAGAACACAGAAACGTCAATTCTTAGAATTCAGAATTCTCTTGCAACACTCGGTAGGCTGAGTGGGTTGGCGATCCTATGCACCCTTACCTGAGAGTCAGTCTTATTGAATTCTGCGGAGCTTACTTCTGAGTAGGCAGGTCTAGGGTTGTGCTAGAATTCCCGTCGAAATCAACATGCCTGGGCAATGGCTGTTCATTTAAGAGGGATGCGAACTTAACAAACAAGCTGATCTACCTTTCTTCTTTTTTCCATTTCCCGAAACTTAGCATACTGATTGGGGGGAGGCGTGTTATATTTACTTCGTTCCTATCCAAAGTTGTAACTGGAAGGGACGGCGGTTTTAGCATCGTTTATGTAAGGTTTGCATTGGTTCAGATACTTTCAGCCAAATCTGGGTTGATCTACACAATAGTATAAAAGGCATGGATGCATGCCGAGGTATGCTATTAGAGCATATTCTTCCCTCACTAAGCCTACCCGCTTCCTCTGAAATTATATTAAATAGATCCAATATTTCTTATTTAGGTGTGAATAAAAAAGAAACACAAGCATTTCCATCCGAAACATGCAGTTCATTCCTGGGCTTTTGTTTCGTCTGTTTTGCTTTGAAAAACCAACACGATGGTTTAATTCAAAACATTATAGTAATAGTAAACACCATGCCACCTTGTTTGTTTGTTCCCCATATTACAAATCGCTTGGAATATTCACTTCATTTTTCCCGTTTGCTTTCCTTTTGTTTATAATTTGCCCTGTCCCTCCTCCCACATAACACCCCTCCCTCCAACCCCGCCTTGGCTCAAAGTATAACGCGTGAACAAAAGGAAACGTTTTTAATCCATTTCATTTAAAAACGATAATAATGCTTTGCTCCTCGTCTCTAAAAGCTAGAAAACATTTGCCTATATACAGAAGAATTATTTTTTTAAAAAAACGGGGTCAGGGAGTGGGTGGGGGGAGAGAAAGATCTCTATTTTTATGGGAGATAAAAACACTGAATAACATTGAAAGGAAGGGAGAGTACACGCTTGCGTTCTCTCTCTCTCTCTCTCTCTTTTTGGTTTGTCTCTCTAACTTTTTCTTTTTCCTAAACAAGAAATAAATAAATACGCTAATACAGTACAAAAAATAACAATAAAGTAACCCGTTTCACATCATATTTGTATTAAATATTTCTGAAAAGTTAGAAGAATGGAAACGCTTTCCCCTCCCCTTAAGAAACAAACAAAAAAATTAACGGTAACAGCGGAGATGAGCGGGGGACGAGGGGAAGAGTTCACAGGTTTTCAGAGACTTCGGTTTAGGATTTACCCAAATGCACAACCCGGAATGGCATTGAGGTGGGGTGGGGAGGAAGAAATAACGAAATGAAGAGAATCAATTCCACCACCACCCAAAAAAACCTCTCTCCTTGGAGATCCCAGACGAAACAACACAATACGATCCCGTTTGTAATGGTGCAATAGCTGTGTGTCGGCAGAGGAGTTTTATTTTAAAAATATTTTTATCTATCTTTCTCTCTCTCTTTCTGTATATATATCTATATATATATTTATAATTATCACTTTCTCACCACCTGGATGCAGAGTTTGTTTGAGTGTGAATGGTTGTGCTGTTTTGCATTATTCCTACGAAGTCCATAATATCGTTGGGTTTGTCTTCAGTACCTTAAAGCAGGATGAGGACAATTTGGGAGTTGTTGGCTGCTACGTGCAGGTTTCTGCTTTTAGCCGGCATGTGCGTTTGTTTGGGTGCTTGTTTGTATATTTGTTTGTTTGTGTATCCTGGACAGTTCAGTTCCGAATCAACCGGGTCTGAAACGGACCATCTTCCAAGTTCCCTACAAAGTTGTCAAGTCTGTCTGGTGCTCCTTGGAGACAGTCTGTGAGTGTTGGCTGGGGGCCGAGGAAGAGCTAGAGGACCGGCCCTTGGTGTTGGGCAGTTTGTGGTCTTTTTTCCACTTCATCCTCCTGTTCTGGAACCAGATCTTGATCTGGCGTTCGGAGAGACACAACGTGTGGGCGATTTCGATCCGCCGGCGCCGAGTCAGGTACCGGTTGAAGTGGAATTCCTTCTCCAGCTCGAGGACTTGCTGCCTCGTGTAGGCTGTCCTGGAGCGCTTCGGTTCTCCTCCGGTGTAATTAGGATTCACTGAGCGGGGAGAGACAAATCACAGGCAGGACTTAACAACCAACCCTCCAAAACAACAACAGCAAACCCACAGCCTAATCTTGACTTTCTCATTAGGCGTTAAGGAAGAGAGAGAGAGAGAGAGAAAGGAGTCTCTGGTAACCATGTGGCCGTTATATACACCATTACATTTGCTAATAACAGATGGGCATGCTTTCTTCCTCTCTCTCTCTCTCTCTCTCACACACACACACACACACACACCCTCCTTCTCTCATAGAAACAGCGGACCTTTAAATATCTCTAGCATCTTTCTGAAATGGAATATTCTCATGCCCACAACCACATGACCAAGAGGCCTATTTCCTCGGCCATAAAAATTTATGGCGAGTGTAATTGGCTACCTCGATTTCAACCCGCGTCGCGAAGCCTGGAAAGGACTTTGGAGGGGTGGGGTGAGGTGGGGTAATGAATCAAGAAGGGGGAGGCGGAGTGGGGTGGGGTGGGCGAGGTGGGTAGCAGAAGGGGATGCTTACCTGAGTTAACGTGGACTTTCTTCATCCAAGGGTAAACCACCGCTGGCTGCTTCATCGCTCCTGCTGCTGTTGGTGGCGATGACCCGTTGGGGCTTTTGAGGCTGGGCTGCTGGTTGCAGGTCCTCGTGGCGGGCATTGGAGGCGGGGGACAGTGCTCAGCCTGCCCGGGGAAGTGGCTCGCTGGGCCGGATTGCTCCTGCCCGTGACCCCGCGGCTGCACTGCCGAGCCCTGGGCATTGCTACAACCGTAGGGCTGCTCGCTGTAGTTTGACCGTGGATAGATTCCCTGGTGCTGGAAGTCAGAGCCTTGCGAGGCACTGTAATAGTCTGAGCTTTGCTCAGCAAGGTAGCTGTTCTGCAGATATTCCTCGCAAGGGGGGAATTTGGGGTCCACATACTTAGAGTTCACCATATACGAACTCATGGCCATTAATTTCGGAAGGTAGAAAATACTAATTTTTCTCGTGTTGTCTTTTTTTCTCCTTCCAGAGAGCCCTCCTACTTGCTGTCAACTGAATAAAGTTAGGCGCCCATGTGACCTGCTCAGCCAATCGGGAGGCAGAGAGGTTTATCACCGGATTTGTGTGTGCACCTCATAATTTCCACAAATTTCACTAAATAATATACGGGTAATCAAGTGGACCCACATGCTGTCTGATGATTCGCGTGGTTTCCCCCCCTCTCCCTCCAAAAGGAGATATGAATACCATAAAACACGATTCATCAATAGATGGCCGTCTCCCTGACACCCACGCCCCAACCCCATCTGCCCTCTTCCCCCCCTCCCCCAGGTAAATCAAAGCCTTTTGTCTCATCTGACTTTCTTAACCTTTGATGCCCTTTAGTTTACAATTTCGGGGATCATATGAAAACATTAGTTGGTTACATTTCAGCAATCAAGAGCCAAAGAGTTAAGTTCAGGCAAGGGGAGCGAAGGAAGCGTCGAAAACCAGGGAAAGGACAGAAAATCAGAAGAAGACATCAAACAAGAGAGCAATATGATGTACAATGGATCTCTTCTGCCTTTGTTTGGCAGGGGTCAACCAAAAGTTACCAGCATCTAGTTGGGCAGAACAAAATTAGGCAATAAGTAACTAGCTTCGAATTTACATTGCAAGTGTCGAAACAATCTGTTTTTGTAAACTCCATACAGATAACAAACTATCCTGAGACCTCTAAAGTTCAACCTAAAAAAAGATTTTTTTTTTAAAAAAGGCTGTTTTTTTAATAAAAAATGGCTGTTGTTTTTTAAAAAAAGCTTTAATAAGATAATTCCAATATTCAAATTGTTCATAGACTTCTTTCAGAGTATAAGAAAACGAGGCGACTGTTTCTATTGGCGTCCAACGTTAACATAAAAATCTGGAGAAAATTGGGGCATGGGAACGAATACAGAAATCGGTATTATCAAAGTTAATTTAGCCACCCTTTATTATTATCTGCAAGCACATATTAACTGGCCAATTAGCATTTTCACAAATTCTTTGCAGACTAATTATATTAATACGAACAGTTTTATGGTGAGATATAAATAACTGTCAATTTTTTTTTTAAATAAGCAACAAATATAGAACTCTTTTTTTTAATGTCCTAGTATACCAGAGTGAGGCAATAGCATCCAACATGCATGTGTCTTTGAGCATCTTCTATGTTTATAACTTATAACCATTTGCAGAAAGGTGAAGTTTTTGCATCGACCATATATTCCCCTAGAATCGAATCTGTGACTATGTAAACACCACACAAATTCGGTTCTACAGGGTATATATAGACAACGTAATAACATTTTGCTTTCGTCTACAGAGGGTGGGTAACAAAGGCAGCGTCACTGTAGCGTCCTGATCCCTCTGACTCGCTCGCGAGGAATTCATACTACTCTCTGTTGGGGTAAAGGTCTGAAATTATGGATTTGAAAAATATAATGATTTCATAGGAAAGCATACCCAAAAAGTGTCATTTTTGTGATTTTGGTCTTTTTCAAGATGTAACGAGTTCTCACGACGGGATTTTCAGATAATCTACGTGACAATCGCTCTGGATTCTTCAGCATTTAAAGCACTTGCACTTAAAAAAACACCATTCAAATAATAACTGTACACTTCCAATAAAAAGAAAGGCTGTCAGCTAATTTATTTTTTGTCAATAGCATGATGTTGATATAAACAATCCGCCTTTCAATCCCATAATAAAAGTCTTGGTGCAAAGGGACCTTTATATAGGAGAAAGCTAACTATTCGTTTCTGAAAACAACTAAACGGAATTATTTCTATTTCTATTTTTGTATTTTTACCTTGATGCCACTACCATCAAGATGAATATTCTCCTAACTGCGGAGAGTATCTGAGCCTTATAAAAAGAAGAAAAAAACCCTCCACACCACTGTCCTTTGGTTTTCATGCAGTAGTGTTGATGGTGAAGGGCAGGGCAAGAGGTCATCTTAAATCATTTACAAACATATCCCAGCGTTTCATTATTTCTACTTTGTCGACGGCAACACACAGGATTCCAAAAGTTCATGCATTGTGGCTGACCCGGTTCCTCTGTGTTGTCTTGCGGTCAGCTCCCTTCCATTCTCCCTCTGTTGGGTATTCTAAGCTAACCAACTTGGGATAAATCAGAGCGAGAGTGAATGGGAATATATGTACGTGTCTGCGTGTGTGTGCATATATGTATATGTGTATGTGTGTGTACACACATAGATGTATCTATAGGCATGTATGCATATATATCATTAAGCATCTGTGAGCAAATGGCTTTTTAAGCAAAGACCTGCTCCTTTTCATGGAATTAGGGGTGGCTTTTTCTTTCCAGAAGGTGGTCTCCTTGGGATAGAAATGGAAGAGCAAGTGGATCACTTTACGGATTTCTGAATCAGTACCTGCTCTCTGAGTTGGCTAAAGAGGCATTCTTATTTCTAATGAGAAGAATGCGTGGGTACTCCCCACTCTTGCTCCCTTTGATGAGTAAGTATTTAAGCAAGAAATGCAAAACGGTCCAATTCTACAGAATATACGTTTTCAAATGTTACTTCTCGGGGAAAGCGGAATTAAGGGGTGGCCTGGGACAGGACTAATCGGAGAAAGGGCTTTCTTTAATTTAAACAAAACATTTTTAAAAAAGAATCGTTCGAATATTTTGTGCAATAGCCCAGATTTTCATATTTGTTAGACGCTGTGACCTGCGTTTCACCTTATTGCGCGACTTGCTCAGACAGGTCAAAGCCAAAGGAGTTATTGATGAACAAAAGCGTTAAACATTCACCTCGTGCTCAACTGCCCGTACAAATTCTTTTGATCCACCAGGCCGTTTTTGTATTCTGGTTCATAATCAGTATGCTGCAGCTAAGTTTAAGGAATATTTTTTAAAAGAAGAAGAAGGAAAGAAGGAAGGAAGGAAGGAAGGAAGGAAAGAAGGATAGAAAATGAAAGGGTGGTGCTTATTTTCTTGTTAAGTTTTAAGGCTGGCCAAAGAAAACTGAGGCAAGGGCAAAAAAGGGGGGGATTTCAGTAGGAAGGAAGAAAATGTGGGAAATCCCAGTCACCCTCTTAGTGGTTTAAAGCCATCCAAAAGCCATACACAGCACAATATTGTGATTTTAAAACAGGCAGATCGATGTATCAGGCTGGGATTTAAAATTAGCAAAGTAAATGGCTCAGAGCTAAGAAAGGAAAGCATAAAGGAGACAGAAAGATGTTGTGCCGAAAATAATCGCTTTTAGAGGTTGAGTAACATATGGTTATATTGGTTTCCCTTTTTTACTAAATAGGGAGGTAATGTATTGTATCCCAGGACAGCAGGCTAGAACTCATGCTGTACATATAATTATGCCACATATACTTGCAACCATTGAACTAATCATAGCCTTTCTTCCTTTCCCCTTTATTGAAATCCAGCCCTCCCTCTCGTATTAGTTTTACCTCCTGCTTCCCCTAAGTTTAGACAGCAATATTATCTGTATCTGCTTTCTTCCAGTATTTCATATGAATGTCAACCACTCTATCTCGGGAACACTTCACTGACACCTAACAATAACGTCATTAACACAGCCTTGGTTGCGATCCTATGCGTATTGACTAGGAGTGCACCTTTCCATTGCAAGCAGCAGGCCTTTATGCCCAAAATAAAAGGGGAGGAGATACAACAGCATTTGGAGCATAACTCCTCGTTGGAACATTAGTTCATCCTCAAAGGCTGCAGTACCGAGAGGGCAAGCGCAATCCGTATTTTGGATCTCCACCAAAAGAGGAGCCAACCAGTAGAAGTGCTTGCCCTGGTGCATGATAGATTCAACATTTGCACAAGGAAACACGGCATGACTTTATCCTGTTAAAATGCTAATCCTGCTCGTTAGCTGGAAAGAGCTTAAGAGAGGCACAAGATGGGCACCTTCACCTGCAATTATCTCCCCAGAAACTGCACAATCAGCGTTTGCTGTGATCTGCAGCCACAGACCGCAGGAGGATGGGAGAGGGAGACAGAGAGAGAGAGAGAGCAAGCTTGAAGCCCAACGAGCCGTCCAGTACAAAACAGCCTTGCAGAAACATCAGAAACACACCATCTCTGTTTACAAACTCAAACGTTTACAAGGCGATGTTTGGAAGCGCCAGCAAATTTTGCACACACGAAAAGGAGAGGAAAAAAAGTGCACTTACTGTAGACGCCCTTCCATTGTCCCGAACCTGTTGCAATGGGGGGAGAGAGGAGAAAGAAAATAAACAAAACCATTTCGTATTGTTGTTTTTCCATGTATAGATGACACTGATCATAGTTGCGGGGGGGGATGCACGCATTGCATCTCTATTTAGATATGAGAATGTTAAGGACACAGGCAGGCATCGCATATAAAGGTGACAAATCAACACACTCCCCCCTCCCAATTGCTGATTTGCCTCTTTTGTTAAATTATTTTTGTAATAAAAGCCAGCCAAATTAAATATTTCAGTCAGAGTTATCATGTAATTGTATACGATCATCCTTACTGCTAGTTTCAACTATGTTTCTATAAAATGTTTTATCTGATAAAGATATAAAGGATTCTTCCTCCAACTGGGTTAATATCAAAGTGACAGAAACCTTACCAGCGTAGTGAATCCCTGAAGCGCCCTGGCCAGTATTTAGTCAGTAACCCGCTTGCTTAAAAATCCATACCATTTTCCCAACATGAACTTGTAAATATCATCATTATTATAGTAAATCTATTTTACTGTTTACTTAAACAGATTTCCCTTTTTCTGTCTGTGTCTTTCTTCTCTTATTGTAACAAATAAATTCTACATTATCACCCACGTGGAGAGAGAGAGACTATTTAAACAATGTTTTCAAAGAGAAACAACCAAGGTTGAGCTATTTTGCAAAACATCCCGTTCACTTTTGCCTGCGCTGTTCCTGAGAAGGGCTGTATAGACCAGACCAGCTTAAAGCAGGGAGCAATCATTCCATCGATGTATCATCTTATCTCTCGTTCCGTTCCTCCCTTCACTCTCCTTCTAGAATAACAGCCAGAACGCAAGTGCCCTTGAAATCTCTGCAAATTAAACACTTAATGAAGGATCTACCGGCTTAAACCGAGGTTGGTTTCTTTTACAAAATTAAAATTAAAACCGTCGACGTGCGATTCACTGACAGCTCTCTTAAAACTTGGAGCAAATCCGAAGGAAATGCTATTCCTAAAATACTTCCGGGCTTCCCTGGATCTGATCTTTTCATTCATATACAGTTCCAGGGAACACTCAGACACACGGTCACTGGAGAGAGGGACTCGGTCACATATGGAGCGCAAGAAGAGACTTACTGTGAGCTTTGCCAAAGGGAAGAGGAAGGTACCCCCGGGAGAAGCAGAGGTCCTGGGCGCTTGGTTTCAGGCAGAGGTCTCCTGCCTAACACTTTCCCTGTCACTGCTCCCAGGAACTAAAGCATCTGCACTTGTATGCTCTTAAACTAATTTATGGTGGGAATTATATTTTGGCTTGTCAACTCTCAAGCCATAAAACAAAGTTTATTGGAATCACGTGCTTCGAAAGAGCCACTCAGGACTTATCTCGACGGAACAATAAATAACCTCTAGCTTTAAACTTTTATTCACTTATATAAAGAGGGCCTGGAAGGAAGGGGGGTTAAAGAGAAGGGGGGAAAGGGGGTAACCCCGCCACACATCCTGCGTTCTATGAAATTTAAAGTAGTCCAAAATAGCGAGGGCCAGGCACTGGAGGCCTTGCGTGTCTGTAGCGTTTAGGCCAGGCTCTTTTTTTTATTAAAAATAATAATAATGAGTTGTGCCAGGACAGGCCCCAGTGGCAGTTTAGATCTCCCCTTTAATGAGGAAAGGAACGTGTGAATTTCGCTGTGAGTACCGATTCAAAATTTATTTGAATGAATATGTATGCGGAGTGGTGGGAGGGAGGGAGGGAAGGAGGGACGATTTTAAGCAACACCAAAGGCCATCACGTTTGTGGGATCCTCCCAGCTAGCCCACGCCCAGCCTCGTCTCTATGGTCAGGCCCCAGGCACTCGGGTTACGCGATCATCCAGACGGCTGCGATGCACACACAACTTTGGAGCGAATGGTGCCGTTCTGCAGGATAAATGGTTCTGTTGTCTAGGGTTTGTCAGAGGAAGAACGTGTTTATCTATGACTGTTTGCTAGGCAGCTACGGAAAGTGCTGTGTGTGTGGGTGTGTGGAATTGACCGATAGCAAAACCTCCATGTGCAGGAGCAGCGCAGCAGACGTTGGGTGGGCGCAAAAGAGAGAGGAAGGCTTCCAAGAGGGATCTG